AACAATTAATATAGATAATCTACAATTTATAAGTGAAGAAAGAATATTTATGAATGAACCAGTGTTAGTTAGTACTGAAATACCACATAATCTAGAAATAATCAATGGAAAGAATATTTTCAAGAAAGATATCAATGAATTTATTATTCCTTCTTCAATTACTAAATTAGGTGATCATTGTTTTAATAAATGTTCATCATTAACAACAATTAATATACCATCATCAGTTAGTAAATTAGGATATCTATGTTTTTATGAATGCACATCATTAAAATCAATTAACATACCATCATCAATTATTAAATTAGGATATTATTGTTTTGATGGATGTTCATCATTAACATCAATTAATATTCCATCGTCAATTAGTGAAATAGGAAATGGATGTTTTTCCAGATGTTCATCATTAACAACAATTAATATACCATCATCAATTACATCATTTGGAAAATCTTGTTTTTATAAATGTAGAAATGCTGAAGAATTAAAGAAAAATAAAACAATACCAAGAAATTGTTTTAACAAATGATGATGAATGAAATAAACATACAATAAATGAAATACAATATAATTTGAAGTAGAAATAAATTATAATTGATTATCATTTATATTATTATTATTCTTTTCTTATTTATTCTTTTTGATATTACTCTTTTCTATCTTATTGATTGATATATCATTCTTTATATTTGTTTTATAATTCTTTTTTTATTCTTATTTTTATATTCTTATTCTTATCTTTTTTATTCTATTTATTTTATATCTTTTATTTTATTTATTTTATGATGCTTTTTGAGGAGAAGAGGCTAATAAAAGAGAGAAAGGAGAGGCTTGCTGAGGAAAAGAGGGACAATGAAGAGAAGAAGATGTTTAATGAAAAAGAAAATATTAAATTAAAAGAAGAAGAAGAAAAGAACAATGAAAAAGATAAAAGAATTAAAGAATAGAGGAGGCTATTAAAGAGAAAGAAGAAAAGAAGAAATACAAAAGAATGACCAGACCATTAATAAATTATCAAATGACATTATGTCATTAAAGAAGAAGCATGAGAAGGAGATAAACACTAAAAAACAAGAAAGTGATAGAAAATTATTCGAATTCAATGCTGAATCAGAAAGGAAAATGTCTGAAGTAAACAATTTATCACAACAAGTATACTTCATGAAAGATAAATTATTTAAATTACAAAATAAAATTACACGAGAAGAAAGAAGAGATAAATCACATTATATCAGACTCATCTGAAACACAAATTGTGAATGACCTCACCCCCAATGTGGTAGTAACTGATGAAATATCATCAAATAAAGATGATCTTCCAAAAAAAGAAAGTTAACGCAGAATTCAATCGAAGAGATGTGAAATCAACATAAGAAGATCACTACATCTGATCATGACATTCAAAAAATAATTGAAGCAAACAAATAGAGAAGAATAAATTCTAACATTCTATAGATGTTTTGCACTAAAATTATTAGAAATAAAATTAAGAAAACAACTTAAAGAAGAAGAAATAAAAAGATTAATACATGAATTTGATATTAAAATAGAAGATATTAATGAATATAAAGAAATAATAAAGAAAACATATAAAATAAAGAATGAAAATAAAATTGAA